AGGGCTAAAAAATAAGCAGGTTAAAAAAAATAAATGGAGGGAAAAAAAAATTAGAATGATTTATGCAGGGAAAATAGTGGCACCAAACAGTACCGGGAGGTTTTGTGTTTGGGGACCCTGGGGGAAAATTTTAAATTATGCTTTGCCAAAAAAAGTGTGAAAAAACTGAAGGAAACCCAATAACTGATTGGCCCGATTTGTTTTGGGAGACCTGTACGGGACCCCCGCATACCCTACGCATCGCATACCATACAATCCGCCCTACCGCCCCCGCTTTTTTTTCCCCAAAAAAAATTTTTTCCTCGCATAAACCCCCCAAAAACCCGCTCACCGCTCTTGTCCGGAGAAAGAAATCCAATGTGCGCCCTTAGCCAGCCTTTACGGCCGCCCGGGGGCATTTTTTACCAGCCAGGGCCCCGGGGGTAACATCCAAACATACAATTGGAACATTTTGGAAATTTTTACAGTGGTTTCGGGGATTTATCTGGAAAAAAGTGCCATGGGCCCCAAAAAAAGCTTCTATGCCCCAAACCCCACAGGAATAAGGGTAAATTAAATATAGGGAGAAGAAAGGGGATATTTTAAAAGGGTTTAAAGGGAGGGGCGGTCGCCGACCCGGGCCAGGTTGTACCAAAAAACCCAAAAAAAACCATCGCTACTAATTTTGGGGGAACAGGAAAAAGGGAACAAGGAAGGGTTTTTTGCCAAAGGGTTTTAAATGTGTTTTTGAAAAAAGAGGGTCGCAAATGATTGGGAAAATGTTGAGAGACTTTATTGGGGTGGATAAATGAAAAACAGGAGCAGGGATAGCGTCTCTTTAAGCGATCATAAAACGAAAAAGGGTAGGAAGTTTGCATGAGGGGTTTAATTAAAAAAAAGCCTGCAACTAGTGTTTAAATTTAGAGAAAATTTTTGGGCCGCAAAAAGGGTTGGGTTTGAGAGATTTAAGAAGGTTAGTGGCATACATAGTGTGATTTAAAGGGATGGTGAGGCTGCCCGTTTTGGGCCACAAAGCAGCTGGAAAAAAAATGTGAAGGAAAACAAGGAGTTTCTAAAAACCCGTGAAGGACTTTAAACCCCGAACAATGTTTTAAATTTTGATGAAACAGGCCTGTTTTTTGGGAAAAAAATGCCAAGCAGGACCTACATTAACCCGGGGGGAAAAAAGGGACTCCCAGGAAAAAGCCATGAAAGACAGGGGTTACTTTTTGATGTGTTCCCAAAGCAGTGGTGATTTCAAAATGAAGGGCCTTTTTTAGTGAAACACTCTAAAAATCCCAACCCTTCAGGTTAAAAAAAATGTCCCCAAGGAGAATTTTTGTGTGCTATGGAAAGGGAAACGTAAGGCATGGGTCACTAGGGGGTTTTTTTTATGACTGGTTAAAACCATGCATTTTCCCCCAATGTTTAAAAATTACCTAATGAAAAGAAATTAGAAAATTAAATGCCTCCTGGTGTTGAAAAAGCCCCTGGGGCATCCCCACAGAGTTTGGGAGAGGGGACCCTTTTTGGGGACATGAAATTCATTAAGGTGAAGTTTTTGCCTCCTAAAACCACTCCTCTCCTTTCAGCCCATGGACCAGCAGGTTTTTTGCAAACTTTAAAAAAACTGTACACAAAAAACTCTGTTTGAAAGGTGCTTTGTAGTGACCTCAAAACTCAACTGGGCTCAAGAGAGTTTTTTGGGGAGAGCAATTTAATTTTCCCCAAATTTTGTAAACCTTATAGGGAAGGCTTTTTGGGGGGGAGTGACTAAGAAGAAAAACCTTTAACTCTGCTTGGAAAAACTGTGGCCAAATTTTGTAGACAAAAAGGGGTTTTAAGGGTTTGAGGTAACCCGAGAGGATTTGCCAGTTGAAGGGAAACCATTGTGGTTGGGAAAGTCCTTTGGGGTTTTGGGGGTTAGTGGGGATTTTGTGGGAAAAATTTGGTGGAGGAACAATGAAAGAAAAACCATGTGAGCTGTTTGATAACTTTTAACACAAGAGGCCCCGACCTGGGGAAACTGGTTCAAAAGAGGGGGGAGAGGGAAAAGGGAAAAAGTGCCCCACTCAAAGATTAAGGAAAACTGTGCAAAGTGGCGGGAAAAATGCAAAAACCTTTTTGATGAGAATCCCCCCTCACAACTATTGGGAAGCCGTGCTGGTGATTTTTACACTGACAAAAGTTGTGAAACACTTTAGGGGAAATCATAAAAGGGCCCAGAGGTACAGGGCCCCTAAAGGACAATAAAGTTTTTGCGAAAGAAGTCCCGTGACTCTGAAACTGGTTAGTGGCCCTTAAAAGAAGAAGGGGAAATAACCCCCGAAAAGGGGCCCCGACACCTCAAGGCTTAAGGAAGGGGGTTCCCCTTCTAAACACTAAAAAACTCCTCTCCCCCCCCTCCCACCCCTCAATCATCACCCCTTTTTCAATAAAAGTAAGTGTCATGTAAAATTTTATGCCTTTTTCAAATTTTTTTGTTTATTTAAAAATTTAAAATTTCATGTGGTAAAAAAAAATTTTTTTTTTTATACTTTTGGGGGTCCTTTCCCGGGTTAATTTTATTTCCATTATTTTTTAGGGGAAAATTTTTTTCGCTTTCCGAAATTTTGCATAACAACCAACCCTCTTGCAAAGGAAAAAAGTCCCCATGGGGGGGGGTCCACTGTATTTTTTTTGGAAAGTCAATTTTTGATTTGTTCATCCCGGCTACCACACCCACATGAAAAATATGACATTTAAAGCACTCCAGAGTGAAAATTTTTATTTTAAAAATTTTTTTTATTTTTTATTATTATTATTTTTATGACATTCCTTGTTCACTGGTTTAATCTTTCTAAAAAACAAACCCTTTGATGCCTTCATAAACCCGGGGGAGAACCGGGAAAAAAGAGAGAGAGCCGAGAATGGGTTAAAAAAAACAAATGGGTGCATATTAACCCTTTTACTGTTTTTGATAAAAATACGTCTTTCGAGCCCCAAAAATTTTTTGACTTTAAAAAACTCAATAAATTTTAGTGGCTTCAAAACAAAACCCGGGGGAAAAGTGGGAGGCCCACCCTGTGAGAGAAGGGTTTGGGGCAGTGTCACCACATAAAAAAAATCCCGCAGCCCACATTTCGTAATGAGAAAAAAAAAACTCTGATCGTTTTTTTGGAATAAAACGCCGATTTTTGAGGTGTATTTTCGTATAGTATTTATCGTTGTTATCGCGTTTTCGGTCTTAGGTGATAAAAATGAAAACATATTACAGAAATAGAGATGATTTTCATTACTTTGACAATGAAAATGACCTTGAAACTGAGCTCAAAGTAGTGGAAATGTTCGATTTGTACCAATGTTCTGGGAGTAAATAAATCACACCACACGTCCAATACACGTCATCTGGGGAGTCTAATATTCTTTCACTAGTGCACTGATATTATTTATACCATTTTTACAATAATGCAGTAGGCTGCATAACAGTAAATTTTGTATTTTTTTGTATGAATAAAAAATCAAAATAAAAAGCAATACTAATAAAAAGAGGGGCCTAGAGATGTGACAAATGAACAGAGCATATGTTATTTTAGTGCCACGAATTTCTACCTTGTTTATTCTGGACCCAAATTTTGAGATTGGCATCTTTTTAGTTTGCGTAAAATTTGGGCCAAATTGCCAATTTCTGATCTCCATATTGGGTAGTCCAAATTAGTAAATGGGAGGTTTCTTGTACTTAGCTGATAGATAAAATGGAGTTCTAAAGAAATAGCTATGAGTTTGGTCAACTGGAACAATGGAATTGGCTGAAAATAGGGCTCAAAGTCGGCGAAATCGCCGATACGCATATGTCGCCGAGACCACTAACTTTGCGGGAGCATAATTCCATGAGTTTTTAACCAAATTTCGAACTTTTGGTGTCATTACCATCGGGAAAAGATTCTGTATCATTTCATAAGAAAAAATAATTTTTTTTTTCAAAAATTGAGCGACATAGAATGACAGTTTCAGAAAGGGGCCTGAAACAGTCAAAGGGTTAATTCCTCTTTGCTTACGGTTCAAACATGTTCATTTTGTATACATTTGTGAAGCTTTTACCCCACGATACAAACACCTAACATTGTGTACAAGTTGTCTTCATGTTGGTGCAGTAGAATAAATAACAGCAAGACTCCCAGTCTCATACTACGCACCATTTTTGAGGAGCAAATGGCGCTATGAGTGAAGGCATACAAAAGGAATATTTTTCTTCAGTTACTCCCCCAGTAATACTATACTGTACACAGCTCTCTCTGATGCTGGACTAGAGAAAATGGAATTCTTACTGTCACTTCTACAAGCTGCCCAGCTACCACATCTCATATTCATGTCAATTTGTTCTACTGTTGGTGTATGTATTATGTAAATATGTTATGTAGCATATTTCTTATATAATTTTGAAAAAATTGTGTAGATGGATTAATGAAAATTTCTATACGACATTTAAAGTGCCCCAGAGCGATTATTATTATTTGTATGTATTATTATTATTATTATTATTATGTATTATTATTATCATTATTATTATTGCATCTTCAACACTACTGAGACACTTAGTGATTTTTAATATGTACCTACATGCCAGCACAGTGTGTTTATTTAGGTACAGGTAAACATTAGTACATTTATCAGAGAATATATAAAATACGCAACAAGTGGAAATTTTTGGAAAGTTTCCAGACATAATTAAGGGATGCGGAGCTCACGGAGGATGTAAACAGAGTGGTGCATGGACATTGTAATGGCAAATCAGGGAGGGAGCCATATAAATGAATTTTGGCCCTTGTTTGAAATGTCTGTATTAGCCAGTCACCATAAAGCAGGGCCCCACTGTACAGTATTATATTTATTCAGTTAAGCTTCGTTAGTTAGGTGCTAATTTGACCTGTGACTTGGTGATGGCTCATGAATATCAATTATGAACTCTTTATTATGATTTTTTCAAACCATCTTATCAAAATAAAAATAGCAGGTAGAAAGTTGATGCAGTTTTATTTCAGGTGGATAGAGGAGAGACGCTCTAGAAGAAAAGTGGTAGAAAATCCAGACAATTATGTTCAAGATGAAAATGTAGTCAACAATATGTTTTTTGCCCAACAAGTAAGTTGATTACAGTCATGTGAGTCAATTACAGTATGAAGAGTTAAGTGTAATCCTTATTAAATAAACTGTGTATCCCTTCCTAAGTGAGGATACTACATGGTTTTTCACCAAGTTTTTGTTTTTTCTGTTTTCCACTACTTTGACTTCAGTGTAATATAATGAAAATACAGAAAGTTGATTTATGAGTTTCTGCACTTTAATAATGTACAGCCTCTCCTCACTTAACGATGGAGTTCCGTTTCAAAGACCATGTCAGTAAATGAATTCATCACTAAGCAAGGAACATACTATAATGATAGTGGGTTTGTGTCAGCCATCTTTGATGTCATTGTTCTGTCACCTTTGCACCATTTATAACATTTTTAGTATACAGTGGTACCTTGAATTTCGGCTGTAATTCGTTCCAGAAGGCTGTTCGAGTGCCGTTACCGAACGAATTTGTTCCCATGAGGATTAATGTAAATTAGATTAGTCCGTTCCAGACCCCCAAAAATACACTTACAAAAATACACTTACATAATTGTTTGAGTTGGGTGTTTAAAATTCAAGGTACCACTTTATTTTAAATGTTTATACAATAGTGTACTGTACATTGTAATAAAAAGAATAGAGGAAATCAGCTCTAATATACATTATTTAGGTATGCATACTGGTCAGGGAGCCCATCGTAAGTCTGAGCCATCGGTAAGTGAGTACGTTGCTAAGTGAGGAGAGGCTGTACAATGGAACTCTTATTGAACTCTTCAAAAATCGACCGCTTTTTTTTAACCAACCTTGTCCCTATTATTGAACTCGCCCCTATTTTCGAACCACCAGGTATCGGACTTGTCCACCAGCTCGCTCTGTCCGCGTCCCTGTGCAGGCGCCGTGAGCCAGTCTGGCTTTGTTGATGCTTGAGTGAACACTAACCTGCGCTCTCATTCAAACATTTTACGATTAATTCATTGTGTTTAGTGCTTGTGGAACTATGAAATAAGCTACCATGGGCCCAAAGAAACTTGCTAGTGGTATCCCTGTGGTAAAGAAAGTGAGAAACACCATAGATGTGAAGAAGGAAATAATACAGAAGTATGAGAGTGGTGTGAAACTCGTTGAGCTTTCCAGGATAAGAAAAACAAGTCGACCATCGCTTCTATCCTGGCAAAGAAAGAGCAAATCAAGGAAGCTGATGTTGCAAAAGGTGTTAATATGCTAACCAAAAAAAGACCACAGACAATCTTATCAGGTTGAGGAGTTGTTGCTGGTGTGGATCAAGGATAAAGAGATGGCAGGTGATAGTGTTTCAGAGATGATTATTTGTGAAAAGGCAAGGAAGTTGCATGCCGATCTGGTACAGAAAACTCCTGGAACCAGTGCTGATAGTGAATTTAAGGCCAGCAGAGGCTGGTTTGACAGATTTAAGAAGCGTAGTGGCATACAGAATGTTGTAAGGCATGGTGAAGCAGTCAGTTCAGACAAACGGGCAGCTGAGAAGTTTGTACAGGAGTTTAAGGTTTACATAGACACTGAAAAATTCAAACCTCAACAAGTGTTCAGTTGTGATGAAACAGGTCTGTTTTGGAAGAAAATGCCAAAGAGGACCTACATTACTCAGGAGGAAAAGGCACTCTCAGAACACAAGCCTATGAGAGACAAGCTAACTCTTTTGTTCTGTGCTAATGCTAGTGGTGATTTTAAAGTGAAGCCTTTACTTGTGTATCATTCAGAAAATTCCAGAGTATTTAAGAAAAACAATGTCATAAAGAATAAGTTATGTGTCTTGTGGAAAGCAAATAATAAGGCATGGGTCACAAGGCAAATTTTCAAAGAATGGGTCCATGAAGTGTTTGGCCCCAGTGTGAGAAAATACCTCCTAGACAATAATTTGCCACTCAAGTGCCTCCTGTTAATGGACAATGCTCCTGCTCATCCTCCAAACTTAGTAGACCTCTTGTCTAGGAACTTCAGTTTTATAACAGTGAAGTTCTTGCCTCCTAACACAACTCTTCTCCTCCAGCCCATGGACCAGCAGGTCATTTCTAACTTCAAAAAACTCTACACAAAAGCAGTGTTTGAAAAGTGTTTTGAAGTGAGCACAGACACTAAGTTGACCCTAAGAGAGTTCTGGAGGAATCATTTCAATATCTACAGCTCCATAAGCCTTATAGGCAAGGCTTGGGAGGGAGTGGCTTCCAGGACTTTGAACTCTGCTTGGAGACAATTGTGGCCAGATTGTGTCCAAAAGAGGGATTTTGAAGGGTTTGAGGCTGACCCTGACCCTGACCCTGACCCATCTGACTCTCTGCCTGTTGTGGAATCTATTGTGGCACTGGGGAACACCCTGGGGCTGGAGGTGAGTGGCGAGGATGTGGGAGAGTTGGTGGAGGACCACAGGGAAGAGCTAACCACTGAAGAGCTGGAAGAGCTTCATCTGGCACAGCATCAGACCAAAGTTCAGGAACTTGCTTCAGAGGAGGAGGAAGAGGGAGTGAATGAGGTGCCTTCAAAGATTAAGGAGATTTGTGCCAAATGGAATGATGTCCAAATGTTTGTGGAGAAGTACCACCTTGAGCAAGCTGAAACAAGCCATCTTTGCAACAAGTTCAGTGACAAAACCATGTCCCATTTTAGGGAAATCTTAAAGAGGCACCAGAAACAGAGGACTGTGGACAGTTATTTTGTGAGACAGGAGTCCAGTGACTCTCAAGCTGGTCCTAGTGGCATTAAAAAACAGAGAAGGGAAGTAACCCCAGAGAGGGCTTTGATACCTAAAGTCCTTATGGAGGGGGATTTCCCTTCCAAACACTAACCCCAACTCCCTCTCTCCTCCTCCCTATCTTCCAGATTCCATCACCAATCTTCAATAAAGGTAAGTAAAAATGTTATTTTATATGTTTATATAAATTTATTAATACATAATTGTACACTATATTTGTTGTGTGTATGTAAAACTATAATTAATCTTTATAAAATGTATTTTTTTTTTGTGAATATTTTTGGGTTTCTGGAACAGATTAATTGTATTTCCATTATTTCTTAAAGGAAATATTGCTATGCTTTTCAAACTTTTTTAATTTAGAACTAGCTCCTAGAACGGATTAAGTGTGAAATTTGAGGTTCCACTGTACTTCCTAAAAATGAAGGTTTATAGTCAACTATACTGTCCCATATCTACAATTTAATTAGGCAGTGTAGTTCCCTGATGAATAATTTGCCAATTTTTACATGTGATTACCTACCTTCAGGATTTAATTTATTATATATATTTTTAACTCTTTCACTGTCTCATCCATTGATCTATGTTGATGCCTGCATCGCTTATGTAGATCCATGTGTAAATTCTAACGGCCTCAGATTTGGTGCAGGAAGCCTGGCTGGCCTAGTCATAAGTGTGCCCAGATCAGAAAAAATGAGGCCACTGCAATGCATTGTGAGACTGCCATCTTAGTATACCATTTTTTGCCATGCTCTGTGGATGCAAAGATTTCACCTGTAGGCAAATTGAATGGGTACTATTCCCTATTGACAGCTCCAACAGACAGAACCAAGAATGAGTTCTTTGGTTTCAAACATTTAGTGATGGAGAATGATGCATAGGATACAGGAAATATGTTGGTTTAACCACACTTACAGCTATAACAGTGGAAAGATGCAACTGTAGCTGAGATGTATCTCTTCTTTGCCATGTGTGTTTAACCCCTTCAGGGTCCAAGGCCAAAATCTGAAGTGGTGCTCCAGTGTCCAAGAAATTTTGAAAAAAAAAAAAATAAAATTATTTTTTCTTACAGAATTAAAGAGTATATTTTTGTGAAGGTAATAAGACAATTTTTTTTTTTTCTGATAAGTACTTACCGAGATACAGTGGTGAGAAGTTGACCCAAAATGACCGGGTGGCGGCAACATCAGTGACTTCCGCAAAATCCCATTTTTTTTATTTTACGTTTTTTATACTTTTTTCTTTTCTTTTCTAATTTTTTTCTTTTTCTAATAACATTTGTGGCCTGTGAGACCAATATAATGTATATTGTATAAGTGTACACTCATTGTATTCAACACAATAACTGCACTAATTTGTTTATCATTATATTGCTTACAAAACTTGTTTACAAGTTTATTGTAAACAAAATGATGAAAATATTAGTGCGGTTATTGTGTTGAATACAACGGTACCATATAGTACCATATGGTACAATGGTGTCATAGAGTGCAATTGTACCATATGGTACAATGGCACAATATGGTACAGTGGCACCATATGATACAATGGTACCATATGATAAGATAAGATAAGATAAGATTTCGTTCGGATTTTTAACCCCGGAGGGTTAGCCACCCAGGATAACCCAAGAAAGTCAGTGCGTCATCGAGGACTGTCTAACTTATTTCCATTGGGGTCCTTAATCTTGTCCCCCAGGATACGACCCACACCAGTCGACTAACACCCAGGTACCTATTTGCTGCTAGGTGAACAGGACAACAGGTGTAAGGAAACGTGTCGAAATGTTTCCACCCGCCGGGAATCGAACCCGGGCCCTCCGTGTGTGAAGCAGGAGCTTTAGCCACCAGGCCACCGGGCCACAATGGCACAATGACACATGATACAATGGTACCATATGATACAATGGTACCATATGGTACAATGGCACCATTTGGTACAGTTGGCACCATATGATACAATGGTACCATATGGTGCAATGGTACCTTATGGTACCATATGGTGTAATGGTACCATATGATGCAATGGTACCATATGGTACATTGTACCATACAGCACAATGATACCATATGGTTCATTGTACCATATGGTACTGTTGTATTCAACACAATAAACACACTAATATTTTCATTATTATTTTGTTTACAATAGTTGTTTACAACAAAAATATGCAAAAATGTTGTATATTAGTAATGTTCTATTATATATTTACAAATGTACAGGAACTTGACTTGTTCCTTGAGGTGGATGACAAAGCACTTTATCTCGGAAACTGCGGAGTCAGTAGCTAGCATGCGTCGCCACTCACTCAGTCTTGGCTGGTGTCTCATGCCACCAACACCTATTGACCATATGGTACACGGTATCATATGTTACAGGGTACCATGCAGTACAGGATAACATATGGTGCAGGGTACCATATGGTACAGGGTACCATATGGTACAGGGTACCATATGGCACAGGGTACCATACAGTACAGGACACCATATGGTACAGATACAGGGATAACTATGGAAATAAGTCACCCAGACTTTTTTGGGTTATCCTAAGATTTTATACATATGCTGCTATGTATGATAATCTATGTAATTGTATTTCTGTACACCTGAATAAACTTATTCAAGTGCATGTGGCATCATAAGTAAGTTTATTTAGTTATACACAAATGAAGTTACATAGAATATCATACTTAGCAGCATATGTTTGGAGAACCTAGGATAACCCAAAAAAGTCAGACAGACTTATTTCCATTAGGGTCCCTGTACCCTGTACCATATGGTATAATGTACCATATGGTATAATGTTCCATATGGTACAATGTACTATATGGTACATTGTACCATATGGTACCACTCTACCATACAATACCATTGTACCATATGATACCATTGTATGTCATGGCTCCATTGTACCATATGGTACCATTGTACCATATGGCACAATGGTACCATATGGTTCAAAACCATAGAATTCGTCTTCAGCTCCACTTCCATCAGTCTTAGAACTGTAAGTTGTGAAGAGGAGAGTCAGAATTCACCCGGAGAGTGAGTGGGAAGTGAGAGCTTCCTTGCTGCCAGGCACAATGAACAAAGCTACTTTGCTGAAATTCCCACAATGCCATGCGGGCGTCCAGATTTTTTCTATGGTGTGCACACTGACCACCCAGACCCATTCTCTCAGATGTAGGCCTACCAGCCTTCTCCCGCTAAATTTGACACCGCTAGAATTTTGGCGTAGATCTACTGTTTGGACCCTGAACGTAAAGCCATAGATCTACGGGACGGACCCTGAAAGGGTTAAGCACAATATTGCATCATACCGGTCAAATGAATGCCTTATATGCACCCCAGTATTCAGTGATCTCATCCCCAGCAACAGCTTTATTTGATAAACTGAGGCCCAACAGAAGTAAGGAGCTATACAATATTAGGATTGTTTTTATGTATTTCAAACTGAAATTTTTATCTCTTTTTTTGACTTGTAATTTGGAATCCAGTGACTGGGTGTAGTTCAGGACTGGTTTTTGAAGCAGTTTTTAACAGAGCCTACTGGAAGTAACAATCTGCTTGACCTGATTTTGTCAGATAAGGAATTCCTCATAAATAATCTAGAGATCACTGAAAAGCATGGAACAAGTGATCACAAATCTATTACCCTTAATATTATCTGGAAGTATGAGACTAAGGATAACTCAGTAAAAGTCCCCAATTTTTTGCTCAGCATATTATAATGGACTTAGGGAACACCTGTCTAGTCTTGACTGGGGATATCTGTCCAGTGATTCTGTTGACAAAGATCATATTTACAGTATTCGCAGAATCTGTGCATATGACATTTTATTTGATAATGTACAGTGTGCCCAAAGTATATATATTCCCCAGAGAGAGATTAAGTCAAATTAGAATGATCCCAAATGGATGAATAGGAGACTAAAACTTCAAAACTGCATCTTTCAGGGTGATGGACTGATTACATCATCTTTACATCTCCACTGCTTCTTCTTCCTATTCTGGATTGGACAGGAAAAAGCCCCCTGTGTAGGGAAAACATTTGAGAATAAAGATACCTAACTGTTGTACATGTGTCTTATTTATTGACACAGTTTGTGTGGGTATTTTGTTGTATACATTGGGTGGGCATACATACATTGCATATGCTATATGTCTCATGGGCTCCAGCAGTTATTGAAAAATATAAAAAAATAGAAAACCCCAGAAAAAATGAAAAAAAAAAAAAAATTCATATGAAGTGTGTGGCAATCGCCAATGTTGCCATCAGCGGGTCATTGACTTTCAACTTCATGCCTTTATATCTCTAAGTATGGATGGGAAAAAATCTTTTATCTAATTACCACCAGAAAAATGAACCTTTTCTTTATTTTAAATCTCAATGCTGTCAGCACTTTTAATTTCTGGGGTCATAACAGTGAAAGAGTTATGGTTTCAGTGGTTGTAGCTCATAATACATCTTGGGTGCTTGAGTAATATTGAATAAACAGAATTGCACTACAGTATATATGGATTGTGGCTGACTTGATTAAATAGGGATGTAGTTCATAAGGAATTTAATCTATTTCTAATTAAACATTTTATGATTTATTGCAAGGCATGCAGTTTCTTAGGAAAATTATATCTAAGAAGATTTCATAGTAAAATTAAAATTGGGTATTAATACAGGTATAAAATAACCTTTGAAAAATGTAGCATTAATATTTCTTGTTGCATAACTGCTTCATAATTATTTACTGAGATGAATTGATTTCTAAAGTTATGTGAAATGTTCAATCAGTAATATATATCTTTATAAGGCTCTGCAACTCATGCATGTTGCCTTTAAGCCTGAGATTTTCATAGCTAATACATTAATACTGACATTATTATAATGTGTATTTATGTATATATTGACATACATTGTTTATATTAGATTGTTTTGAGCAATGTTTATGATTTTTTCAATTGTAAATTTAAATTGGGTGATAAATATTACAAACCAGTAATAAACATCAACAGATGGTGCCAAACAGTTGTGCTACACATTCCTTAGTATCTGTTCTTCTAAACTGCTCAACACTAGACCTGGGACCTACACTCTCTCGTCTGAAGATACATACAATTGGGATGAATCCAGAAAACAAGGTATGTCTTTCCACAGGTTAGAAAATTATTATAAATATTATATCAGTTATGCAGGGATTCACTTGCCAGTCATTAGATATTTCTTCTTCTTTCATATACATATACATACTGTATATAACAAATGCACTAAACATTCTCAAACTTTATTCCCTCATGCTTTTAGCATTCCAGTCTTAATCTCAAGTAACTGTTTTTTCCACTTTCTAGCTACTTCATCCACTTCCTCTATACAGGTGGGCCCCGCTTTACAGTGCTTTGCTTTATGACATTTCAGTTATACCCGTTCTTCATTTATTCAGACTTCCTATATGCTAAGGACGAAAATATTTTAAGGTGAGAAATGTGTACTGTATATTCATTTTTTAGGCATAGCTCTGTTGCTCACTTAATATATGATAGTGTAAGCATGTTAACAGGCTTTAATATACATTTGAAAGTAAAAATAAGGCTATGTTTCACTTTACAGTGATTTTTGCTTTACAGCAGTAGCCCAGAATCTAACCTGCTGTATAAGTGGGGTACCTTCTGTACTCAGTTCCAGCTCTTCCCTCCTAACATATCCTATTCCTTCCTGTCCCGTAGTGGTCTTTTACATATACATGTATTTAGATTATCTGTATTATTATACAGTGGTACCTCGACTTGTGAGTTTAATTCGTTCCATGACCCAGCTTATAACTCAGTTTGCTCGTATATCAAATAAATTTTCCTCATAAAAATTAATTGAAATGCTGTTAATCTATTCCAGTAGAATTCCTGGCTCTCAGAAGGCAGGAGAAAATACTTCAATATAATGCTAATATCAACTCAACAGCTTTTTATCTATCACAGTTGATTTAACCCTTTCAGGGTCCAGAGGCCAAATTTTGATGTGCAGACCAGTGTCCAAGAATTTTCAAAAAATAATTTTGTTATTTTTTCTTATGAAATGGTAGAGAATCTTTTTCTGAAGGTAATAAAACAAAAAGTACGAAATTTGATGGAAAATTGACAAAATTATCCTCTCGCGAATTTTGAGGTGTCAGCGATATTTATGCGTCAGTGATTTTGCGGGCTTTAACTCCCATTTTAGGCCAATTACATTATTCCAGTCGACCAAATTCTTAGCTATTTCACTAGTATTACTTCTATCGATTGAGCACAAGAATTTGCCAAGTCAACCGTTTCAACTACAAAATAAAGTGATAGGAAATTGGTAATTTGGCCAATTTAATGCAAAGTTCAAAATACTCCAGTTTCAAAATTGGGTCCAGAATAAACAATCCAGGCATTCCTGGCACTGAACTAACATTTCCTCTGTTCATTAGTTACATTTTCAGGCTTTACTAATGAATTCCATTTTGATTTTTTATTCACATAATGAATATTTATTCAAACCAAAAAATAGAAGATTTACTGTTACGCAATAGTGTAGTAATTGTATAAGTAATATCAGCACATTTGCGAACGTATATTAGACCTACCAGCAGGCGTGTATTAGATGTTTGAGGTCATTTGTTTACTCTTGAACATCGGCAAAAATTTAACGTTTCTGCTATTTAGAGCTCAGTTTCAAGCCATTTGCAGCACTAAAACCAATCAGAATCATCTCTATTTCTGTAATATGTCTTCCATTCTATCAAATGAGACCAAGAAATCGCAAATACAACTATAAAAAACATACAAAAATACGCTGCAAACTCACTGTTTTAATAAAAAATTACGGTCTCAGTTTTTTCTCTCATTATGCACTGTGTGCTGCAGGATTTGTTTTATGTGGTGCACATATACCACATAGATGTATTCTCTCATATCAAGGCCAAAATTTACCACTCATAGCTTATTAGAGTGAGCTGAGCTCATGACGTAGATCTACGGTTTGGACCCTCAATATAAAGCCGTAGATCTACGGCACGGACCCTCAAGGAGTTAATATGACATAATAAACAATATAAATAATGTAAAAGGACACAAGTGCAACTAATGTGACATTTTTATTGTGGCAACATTTCGCTCTCCAGGAGGTTTGTCAAGCCATTACAAACAGTACATGGACACAGAGGGTATATATAAGCTCAGAGTGAGGTGCAGTACTAGTGGTAGTAGTAGTAGTGATATAAGTTGTAGTAGTAGTAGTAATACAATATGTTAGAACAATTAACTCGCACATGAGTAAAAGGATATAAAAGCTATAACTTGGGTAACATAAAAATAGGTGAGACAAATATTTCTATTGGAGGCTGGAAAAATGTCACATTAGTTGCACTTGTGTCCTTTTACTTTACATATTGTTGGTAATTCTACCAACTTTATTACAATATAAATAACATAGAAACATGATATATACTCTAGAATGAATAAAATATGTCATTATGTGATAAGTGGTGGCAGCTACTCCCGAGGTAAAATAATTATCGCTCTGACCACATCTTCCCATTCTTGCCCTTCTAAGGTCGCTAACTGCATTAGATCACTAGTTTCGTAAGGAAAACACTGAAACAAAAGCGATTTTCTCGGATTTTTTTTTTATCCCGAGTTAGGAGACTTGCCTATGTTTTGGGTGAATATCTTGGAAGTAAATCAGTGTAAAATCCTCATGCCTTCTCGCAGAGAGGGCATGAGGTTCAAAGTACATACTATGCTTGTACTGCCTTGCCAGATTGACTACACGCCATTCGTGTTTTTCTATGATTTCATGCTTTAATTCAGTGGACATCATCCTCTTCTTCTCAGCACTGTCCTTTGCACTTACAGTGGACCCTCTCTTTTTGTCGACCTCTGTTATCACCGATGGTTCCATTTTCGCCGATGGTACGGAACCTGTCCAGTGCCCAGCACGCAGACAAAGCCGCCTCCCAAACGGATTCTCAGGCAGTGTTATATTGTTTCTCGGTGAGTGAACATATCCTGCCAGGTCATATGAAACATTTCATAATAATCCATTGTTTTTGGCACTTGTTTATTGTGTGTGACTGCTCAATAAGCTGCCATGGGCCCAAAGAAAGCTCCTAGTGCCAGTCCTTTGGTAAAGAAAGTGAGGAACACGATAAAATTAAAGAAAGAAATTGTAGCAAAGTGCCAAAGTGGAGGAGGAAGAGAGAGGAGAGAATGTGCCTTCTTCAGTGATTCAGTGATTTTATGACATGTACGATACTAAAGCAGCAAGAGTCAATACAGGCTATAGCACCAGCCAGCGATAAAGTGTAGCACTAACAGTGTAGCAAGTAAGTTAAACGATTAATTGATAGAAAAAGGACAGCACGAACCTAACTCCTCCAATGTTGTTGGAGTTATATAGGGCTACTGAGAACACCGCCATCTCTGCTGCTGCCTTCACCACCACTATATACGGCTTATGCTCTCAGTGGCCCTTATACACCCAACAACAATAACACACCTTTCGTGACATACATAATGACATATTTTATTCATTCTAGAGTATATGTCATGTTTCTGTGTTATTAATATTGTTTATTTTGTCATATTAGATGAATTATGATAGATAAATAAGCTGTGGAGTTGATATTAGTGTCATCTTAAAGCATATTGTCCTGTCTCCAACAATAAACTCGCCTCCCATTCCCCTCGTCCGCCCAGTCTGCCATACATGAACAAGAGTCTTTAATAAAGGTAAGTGTGATGTTAAATCTTCATTTATACATTTTATTAGTGCTTTATATTTATTTGTCATTCTTTTCTGCATGTAAATCTATAAGCTAAAATAATTTTTTTTGTTAATACTTCTGGGTGTCTGAAATGGATTAATTGGATTTACATTATTTGTTACGGGGGAAATGGTTTCTGTTTTTGCCAATTTCCATTTTCGCCGATCGCTCTGGAACGGATTAAACATGAAAACCAAGGGTCCACTGTACTTTCTTAGGACCCATGGTTAGAAAAAAGAAATTTGGCAAAATAACTGCACAAAACGCAAGTACAACACGAAGAGAGATGCTTCCATGGCGAGGTAACCATGTGCACTGTTGTGGCATCACTGCGCCAACTAGTGGTAGTGTATCTGAAGCTTGCTCATAACTCGGATTTTGGTTCGCTATTCAAAGAAAATCGACCGAGCAGCAGCTCGTAACTCAGAAAACTCGTAAATTGGGACACTGGTAAATCAAGGTACCACTGTAATTATTACAATCATGGGGGAGTGCTAAACTCGTAAGGATTATACAGCACCTGTAGGAGGGAGGTGATGGTATTCAGGTTCAATTCAGGGAACTGAAGCACAGATCCAATTCCCTAGATCACCTGTGTCAAGGAACCTCCCTTTAGGGGTTAGATTATATATAATTACAGTGGACCCCAGGTTATCATAATTAATCCGTTCCAGACACCCAAAAAGTATTAAAAAATAATTTTTTTTTTACATGAAATATACATTTACCTACACAGAAAACAGTTAGACATGAAGAATAAAACAATAATAACATGACACTTACCTTTTTGAAGACTTGATGTATGGAAGACAGAAGGAGGGGAGAAGATGGAGGAGTTACTATTGTTTGGAAGGGAAATCCTCATCCATAAAGACTTCAGGTACCAAGTCCTTTTCTAGGGTTACTTCTCTTCTTTGTTTTTTAATGCCACTAGGACCAGCTTGAGAGTCACTGGACCCCTGTTGCTCAAAAAATTGTTTCTGGCATTTCTTTAAAATTTCCTTAAAATGGGACATGACATTGTCATTGTACATGTTGACAACACTGCCTGTAACAGCTTTGGCAGGGTGATGTTCATCCATAAATGTTTGCATCTCACTCCAATTTGCATAAATGTCCTTAATCTTTGAAGAAGGCACCTTCTTCCATCTCTCTTCCTCTGCCTCTGAAGCAGTTTCCTGAGCTGTAGTCAGTTGCTTTTGCAGATGAAGGCCTTGCAGCTCTTCAGTGGTTAGCTCTTCATTATGGTCCTCTACCAACTCTTCCACTTCCTCGCCACTCACATATAACCCCATGGAATTCCCCAGTGCCACAATACTTTCCTTAGGGTTTATCAGGGTCAGCCCCAAACCCTTC